AATTATTTATACAGTTATATTATTATGTAATTATTATACATAAGATTGTAATATATTAGATCACATAATAATTTCAGTCTTGTATAATTTAAATTATCATAATAAGTTGAAATTACAAGATTCAAAGTTTTATTATACTAATGATTTTTGTAAGTATAATATCATTGATATTAATAAATAAAATATAGTTATATTCTAAACTATTTTAATGAATATATAACATTGCAACATTTAGATATTCATAAATAATAATAATGAAAAATAATTTAATAGCTGGTATATTTTAACGACCTATTATGATAATAATTGCGAAAAATTAAAATATTTGTATGTTTGTTAATCTTTTTACTAATTTGGTGGTTTTAGTAGTATTAAAGTAAGGTATACCAAATATATTAATTACTTTTAAATATCGTCTTTTTCTAACATTATAATTATGAATAAAACGGCACTTCAGATAGGCAAAACAGGTACATGGCTGAACTGCGTGGGAAACTTTATATGAACTCGATTATTATTGTTGAAAAAAACATGTATTAATAATATTTTGTTAGTTTTTAAAACAAGTTACTGTCGTAAGCTTTTTACCAGGTTAAATACGAAAAAGGTTTTATTTCACTTTGATTCAAACCGTTTTGACATCAATGAGGCAAAAAACTAAAACTGTACAACAATACGTCGACCGTATATTTCCTTTCGGAAAACAAACTTCTGTGCATATTATCAAAAGTATCCACTACTGCTTTAAAATACCATTATGAACCGATTTGATCGAAAAACGCGCAAAAAGGTAATCAAAGAACATCCTTGATTTTTTTTTAAACATATAAAAAATACCAATCTAAAAAGGTTATACATATATGCACGTATGCTTGAATTCAAAGTTTTGAAAGAATAAGGAACGCGCGCATATATAACTTTTTATTTTATGGGTTCCAATTTTTCCTTCGCTCGTTTATATATTTTGAGCCATGTATGTCTTAAACTTGTAATACCATCACGCAACCTTTACATATTTTAGGTTTTTTATTGCTTTTCCGCGAAAAAAAAATTAAAACGAAAACAAAAATCCCCGAAAACGAAAACGAAAAAAAAAAAACGAAAAATATAAGGAAAAGACATTCCCGTCCGCAATACATGTGATAACGCAGAATCGGGTACGGTGCGCGATTCTCGAGAAAAAAAACCCGTGAGCATTATCAAATTAACCTTTTGACGAGTCGCTCGCTCGGTACCGTGGAAGGAGAATTTCGTGGGAAATCCGGTCCTTTCCGAAGGGTTTCGTTAAATCCCAGGTCGAGTACAATATCTCTGGCCGAGCAGTAAGTGTGCGCGTCTCTTGCGCAGCCTTACAATGTTCGGCGGTGGAAGGTGATTTTGTGCACGTTCGTCGTCCTCCTCCCCCTTACCCTTTCCCTAGTCGTATGACTCCAAGCGTAGCGCTGACGTTTCGCCGGATGGACTGCATTGCGTGGAAAGAGGTATGAGGGTGATACGGTTCGATTGTTATCGACACACTCGGGAGCGGTAGCCGCGGCGCAAATATCGTAAATAACTGAGTCCGTCCCGCGGGCGTGAGAGGCGGCTACGCTTCGACGACGTGTTCAGATATGTTTCCGCTCAGAGCATTTATAACCTGTTTATTTGATTTTTTTTTTCGCATTACTGTTGTACACGTTATTCGTACCGTACGGATTTCGTATTTTTTGTGTAATATGCACGCGTGCGCGTATACGATTCGTCGTCATCATTGCAGGGCTTGCAATCGAACCTCCTAAATAACCCTAGAAAGTGCTTCTAATTCACGACACGTCTAAATGGCGCTCTTGAAAAATCTCCTAAAATTTGTTTTTTTCTCATTATTCCAGTATACGTGATTTTGATCGAATCGTCAACAAATACCCAATGAACTTTCATATCCCAATCCGGTATTATACGAAACAATACAAGGTGCATTATAATTCCAGACCTGTTTAGTTATGGTCAAATCGATTCGAATTAATTGCTACTAGAGTTTCAAGTATAAAAATATAATATAAATATTTTGAAACGATTAGGGATGTTTCCACTACTAACCACTCGTTTCGCTTTTATCTCGAATACTTTTCACACAACTTAAACTAAACAATAGTTTGGGTTTTTTACAATTATCTAAACAATATGACCATTTTCCGTTCACCATTATTGTATAGACGACTTTGAGTTATATGAAAATGCATTTTTACCCTCCATTATTCAGAAGTCAGTCAAGGAAATAATTTTTAAAATAATTTTTAATATTATTATACGTTAATAACACTAATAATAATTATCCAATAGTTGACTGAGTGTATTATATTATTATATTATATGTAATGTTTGCATCTTCAGTGAGCTTTGAACGAATTTCATTATTTTGTGTTGGAAGATATAGATGAAAGATATATGTATATATATTCCATATATGGAAAATACTGCAGTCTTTGGGTCTTCATAGAAGCAAAGTCTCGTCATTCAGTAA